CACACAGATAACAATTCAAGGCTGCTGCCCAATCAATTCTCCATTCTTTTAAAAAAGAACAATTAAGTTTATTGATACTTAAATTTTTTCCATTTTAATATAATGTTTTTATAGTCCCACCTGTTTTTGCATATATTTTGTAGTTGCCATTTTTGCCACGTTTATTCATCAAAGCCTGTAGTCTGGACAGCCGAAAGCTCAAACGTTTTAACTTTTCATGTATATAGCCATTGAACGCTTTTTATAAAATTTTAATATGTTTTGTCCTGGCTACAGTTCTTCTGATCAGGATTTTGTTCACTGACCTCCATTGGCATTGATTGTCCTTATATAATCCATAAGGTCGCCAAAAAATTGATAACCTCCTTTTAACACACACAATCCAATGAGTGGACCGCTACCAACATCACGGCAAATATTCCTAGCCAATCTTTCAGTTCTAAAACATTCAAAAGCAAGAACATAAGATCAAAAATTTGCCTTACAGCTATAATTTTACACAGTCAGTTCTTTTATTAGAGGACTTTACAACAAAAAATGCATTAGTTTCTGAAGCATCCCATTAGTGGAAAATGGCGCTATATAAATGTATATTTATTTATTTTTATGTATTTATTTATTTATCCCTCATTTTGAATTACCCGCACTTCCAGAAAATATCTATATTTCCTTCACAAAAGAGATTGGAATGTCCTGGGGAGGGAGGTGTGGGGTGTGCTCTAAGACCAAATACTTTAAAGAAATGTATGAAACTTTATTGGAATTTTCAAAGGGGTGGGGGTCTTCCTTCTATGGACGACGTATGGATATTTTCGGGAACCACACAATCACATTTTGAACACAATGCACAACAATAATACTGCCATGTTCAAACAGAGGGAAATCCATGACAACTCCAGTGTCTACCAGCATCATTGCATATGGTGGCAACATCTTACACACTTTCCCATTATGTTTCACTTTTATAATGTCTGCTTACCGATCATTTATAAGTCCCTTTGGTATCAAAATTGACTCGACGTCACTCTCATAATGCCTTGGTAAGCAAAACATCTCCAAAGAATAACCTTTATAGTTATCAGGAATCTACAAACAAAAGTGAAACTCTTCAGGATTAAGTAAGATTCACAGCACAAGTCATTTGCCTTTACTAACAACCTGAAGTTCCAATCTTCTTCATTAGCTTACTCATGCATGTGTTTCTTTGATCCTTTACTTCTTCCTT